ATTTCATTTCAATAGTTGCAGCAAGTAGTTTAGCTTCTTTTCATGAGCTATATCAAATTTCATCTGCAGTTGATGTGCTCAATGTTCTTAAACTACTGAGTCATTCTGAAGTAAACTTTGCTTGCATTATGCTGGCCTGAATCCTTATGTAAGATTTCTTTAACTTGCCATGGCTAATTGCAGCTAATGGACAAGATGCCATAGCATGTTTCAGTGATGTGCCTGGTCACTCACTCCATTGCTCAGTCTTATCATTTAGCTGTAATTAGCCACAGTGAGTTATGCAAACTGTATGGTAACACTAATAGATGCTACTTTGTTGGTAACGAAATTGCTAAATAATTATATAGTTTTCCTCTATTTTGTTGGTAATGAACTTGCTAAATAATTGTATAGTTTTCCTCTACTTTGTTGGTAACAAACTTGCTAAATAATTGTATAGTTTTCCTCTTAAAATAACCAGATTCTTTTACATCTAGGGAACATGATTGGTTTAAGCAAGATCTACCCAAATACCTTTTTCCTGAAGATCCATCATACAGTTCAACAATGATTGATGATGAAGCCTTAAAAGAAGTTTGTGAGAAGTTTGAATGCACGGAGGAAGAAGTGCTAAGCTGTTTGTATAATCGAAATCATCAGGATCCTTTAGCAGTTGCCTATCACCTAATTATAGATAACAGAAGAATAATGAATGAAGCTAAAGACTTTTACTTAGCTACTAGTCCACCAGATTCCTTTCTTGATGATCACTTCTCCCGTCCCCACCCTGAAAGAGTGCCATTTTTAGTAGCCGAAGTACCAAGGCCACGTCATACACTTGATGAGTTAAATCCACAAAAGTCCAAACATCAGGGTGTCAGAAGAGCCAAGTGGCATTTGGGAATCCGAAGTCAGAGTCGGCCAAATGATATCATGGCAGAAGTTTGTAGAGCAATCAAACAGTTGGATTATGAGTGGAAGGTGAATTTGCTTAAGTCTTTAAAATACAAAAAAATACTCTGTTGTGGTGTTTTTGGTGTTCCTTGGTTGAAAAAAGCTAAGGAGAACATTAACTTTTAGCTTTATATTCTAGGTTGTAAATCCATACTACCTGCGTGTTCGTAGGAAGAATCCAGTGACTGGCACATATTCCAAAATGAGTCTGCAGTTATACCAGGTGGACAGTAGGACTTACCTACTAGATTTTCGTAGTATTGATGGTATGTGAAGCTGAGTATTTTCAGGCAGAAATCTATGTTTTAGTAAATCTGTGAGGCACCTCCCCATTGCCTTCTGTAGCCTTCCTGGGATTCCTTCCTCCCTCCCCTAAATTCTGAAAAAAAAATGGTAGATTGTGCCCTCAAAAGTCTGGGGTGGTGGGGTGATGTACCGTTTAAATATTATTCTCCCCCACACCATCTGTTTTAAACCATTAAAGCTTTTAAAAAAAGAAAACAAAGTTGATTTCTTCAAAAAGAAAACAACTTATTTTGCCAAAACAAGCCAGGAGAGGGAAGTAACATGTTAAACGGCAAATCGTACTCCCGAACAAAATGCCACATTTTGAGATAAAAATTTTGGGGTTGGTCTGAGCTGAAGATGTTTATGTGTGGGGGCTGTATAATGTTTCCCAGACACTGACAAATTTAGTGCAAAACAAAAATAGACCTCATTGATGACTAAGCTGGTTATGAGCCTAGAATAAATTGGTTAGCCATGATAACTAAATGGAGACTCTGGATTTAAAGCATGTTTGCCTCTTAAGAACCAGACAGAGAGAGAGCAAACTGGATGATCAGTGCTGTTGTAACTTTCCTGTAATTTTTCTGGCTGGACTTTTTTTTGGAAATAAAACACTACACTGGATTTAACTGGTCTAATCTTTAAGAAATATTGGCTGGGTTCAATTCCCTACCATGCCTCCCAGGAAAACAGCTAACCTGGGTAACCTACAGTTCTTGAGTGCCACCAGAAGATTAATAAACCACTTCTGAGTATGTATTCTCGAAGGCTTTCACGGCTGGGATCTGATGGTTGTTGTGGGTTTTTTGGGCTCTTTGGCCATGTTCTGAAGGTTGTTCTTCCTGACGTTTCACCAGTCTCTGTGGCCGGCATCTTCAGAGGACTGGAGTAGGAACTCTGTCCATGCTCTGTTGCTGTTTGTTGGATAGTTGAGTATTTATCCACTATCCAACTATTTATCAACTATCCAACTATTTATTTAAATACTCAACTATCCAACAAACAGCAACAGAGCATGGACAGAGTTCCTACTCCAGTCCTCTGAAGATGCCGGCCACAGAGACTGGTGAAACGTCAGGAAGAACAACCTTCAGAACATGGCCAAAGAGCCTGAAAAACCCACAACTTCTTCTGAGTATTTTATATCTAGGAAATGGAGGTCATCATCAGTCAGAATCAAGTTGACAACACATAATCATTATTAATCTTTTTTAAAAAGCAGTACATGTCATTGTATAGTCTTCTCATCATGCTTTTTTCCCCCCTTCTGCACTAGATGAAATTACTGAAGCAAAATCAGGGACCACCACTCCCCAGAGGTCAGGCTCTGTGACTAACTACAGATCTTGTCAGAAGGATTTGGACACTGATGCTCAAGGAAAATCTTCTGATGTGTCTCTTACTTCATCGGTGACCTCTTCCCTTGACTCTTCAGCAGCGGAGTTAACTCCAAGATCAGGGAGCCACACGATAGAATTTTTTGAGATGTGTGCAAATCTTATTAAAATACTTGCACAATGATTTGTAAGATTGGCTTATTATTTTTTTTTACAGCAATAAGCATGCCTAAAACAAAAACAGAAAAAAAATCATAGTCAAATGCTTCCAACTATAATCAAGTTACAGTTAACTTTGGCGCTGAGAAGACTAGCCACGCTGCAGTTTGCACAGGAATGGGATATACAGTTAAAGGCAGTCTAAATGTCTTAATGTAATGAAGCAAATGATGGTTAGAGAGTTCCTGGTGTGATACAAGAAAAACTTTGTGAGCAGAGTTTTATTTTTCATTGTGTACACATTGGGGCTTCATAGAGTATTAACCATAAGGATCTTTTTGTAGTTTGTCTTTATATTGCTGATTCCATATTCCTGTTACGGTATAACTGGTCACTTGCTAGATCAGGGATCTTTTTGGATCTCAGTCTTCAGTTGCACCCTGCGATATCTCAGTATAACTATTTTCCTTGTCAAACAGCACTTCACGCTTCTGGCACTTGTCTCAAGTTTTCAGCAGTCAGTGGTGCATTTGGGTGGAAAAGCCTAAAGCACCCTTTACATTGCTTTTTACCAGTTGATATGCTGGGAAATCCAAAGTCCAACTCCTCATGTGCTTAATTTTTCCATAAGATGTATTTGCAAAGCCAAATATTGTCACCAGAAGCAGTTTTGGTGGTAACAGTACTCTGAAAAGAATGACAAAATGGCCCAGGACCTAAAGAGTTTGTTTCATGAGGCCGTGTGTGGCTTTACATATTGTTTTCCTCAAGCAGCCGCAGCACATGGCAAGTTTGGGAAGAGCTTTGTGATATAGCGTGGGGAGGAGACTGCTTTTCAGCGCTGAGAGACAGAACTGCTGTCATACTAGCACAAGCCCTTGATGGACATGGCTTCCTGATTGTGGACTTCAGTCAGGGAATAATAGTTAGGAAAGGGGTTTACAGCTGCTGGCACAACTAGTATAAAGACAAGAATGTACTTGGTAGGTATACAACTGTCTAGATTTATTGGCCCATGTCTCCCACCAGTAGTTAATGAGCAGCTTTTTGCATGCTAATCCACTACAAGATAAAGAATCTGTGCCTAAATCCAGTGTGTGTGTGGCTGTCAGGACAGCCCAAATAGATGGGTGCGTATAGTTCTTGGAATCTTGCACTGAGGATTCCATGGGTCCTGTTTTCATATGGTTTTCATATACATATTTTTGGCGGATAACTAGTGATGAGTGATTTGGAGTTTACCTCTGTTGTATAATCACTTTTTATACCGTTTTTACACTGAATTAAGATTTGTAATTGTAATGGAACATTAAATAGCCCGGGTTTGGTTTTGAAATGTATAAAAACTACATGTTTCCAGTCATTTGTACTCAGTGCTGCAGACATGATATTTGACCATGGTTAGCACTAGAGTCAGACACGACGAAACGACTAAACAGCAAGCACTAACCACGGATTGATGGCTTAATTATAGTTAATCCTAGACATTCAGACTGTGTTTGGATGGACTGAGAATTCAAGAGAACTTTGGCTTATCCTGAAAGAGGTTTATGTTCATACATGTATAGTCTGTTTCCTCCTACTTTGCTTCTCTGCTAGCATCACAAGTAAAGAAACCTACCCAGAGGCCAAGTTTTTTGTTCAGAACAATCTAGGATTCAAAAATGAAGGCTTGTTCTTGTTTTACAGTTCCAAGCTTGTTTTGGAGCAACAAACTAGGAACATACTTCAGATGGCATGCTAAAGAAAATTCCTGGGGGTTTTCATTGATTGTGCTAAACTAATGAGGTTTGTACACCACCACACACTTTATCCTTGATAAACTGGAATTCCAAAGAATTCTCCTTTATCTTTCTATGCCAACAAGGCTACAATGAAGCTATGTTGTTAACTTGCTAGAGTACGCTCTTCTTTTCCAGGAGACATGTATAGGGTGGTATCAGGAAAGCCTTTTTACTTTAAAAGCAAGAGAGAGAAAACTGCCTTATCTGTGGCTTTCTAGATGCAGATATAACAGCTTTGACTATGGTTAATGTGACCTCTCTACAAACAAAGGTTTTACACTCTTTTTTGTGGCTAAATTTGAACTATAATTGAGATGCTCATGTAGTTGAGAAAAACAAAATCATGGCATATGTGAACAGGATCAGTAGGAGACAGAAAACAGATTTTTAAAAATCCAAATGCAGGAGAGGTTGCCATTGAATTGGGCCAGCAGTGAATTAAGAAGAACCAAGGATACAGTTCTCCCCTTTAACGAGAAATATCTGTGCCTATCAGATGAAACATGCAGTTGCTTAAGTTCACAATCTGCTGCATGAATTTAGAGGTTGCATTGGTGATATTTTAATTGGGCACAAGCTAAACCTTGCATTTTGTTCTAGTTGCAAAGATCCATACATTCCGTAGCTTCTCTTGGAATTTTGACATGCATTGTTCTTTCAGAGACAAGTGGTCTTATGTTGCATTTTCACACTTCTTCAGGTATGATATTTTCCAGAATCCAACAGTGGCCAGAATATTACTTTTCTATATTAGCCATGATCAAGAATTTAAGGCTTTTGTTCCTCAATGTGCACCAGTCACATGACTTGGCACCCAACAAGACATGCAAATATCACCTTAACTAATGACAATTTGCCACAGCATTTAATACTGTTGACTCATGTCAATGTACCTAAATAAACTGGATTCTGGTCAGTACCTTTAGAATGGAATCTGATAGGCAGTTCTTAAAATGTACTCCTAAAAGACTATGCGTATGAGATGACACCGGCACCAGGAGTGATTCCCCCCACCCCCAAGGAACCATTTGGTACTAATGTATGAAAAAGGTTCTCTTGGAGATCAAATAGTATTTCTCCCTTTTTAATTTACAGTAATAATTGAAAGTACTTTGATGTCTAGTTCTGCTCAATCTATTCAATAACTGTGATTTTCCTCAGTTGTGCTCTGTTGATTTTAAAATTGCTAATATTGCACTTGGCAAGTGGCATAAACGCACACTGTTTTTCTTTGTTTTATTGCTGGGAGGCCTTGAGGAGAGTATTCAGTAAACCCCTGTATCTGGTTTTAGACGCCCTTAGACAACAGTGGGCACAAGCCATAAGTATCACCACTGCACACCATCTGTCTGTTCAGCATGGCATGCAACCAAATTGTATGCTTGTTTATGCAGTATAGTTTTTTTTGTGCAGGTCTGAATCTGCTGAATTCAATAAGGCGTACTCCTCAATATGCTTGCCTTAGGACTGCAGCCTTGGAGTAACCCCTATGCAAGTCCTACTTAAATGGATGGAAGATCTCCCCTCCCCTTGGAGCCTCTGCTGAATTATGTCCAGTGTCTTTATACTCAAAAAATGTCACAGTGCAACAAACTTTAATTTTATATATTTAAGGCATTTTTATTCTTAAACGACGAGGCTTTAATTTTACCTTTGTATATGTGGGTTCAAATACATAACAGGAGAGTACATTTCCTATACTCAAATGGTCAGTTTTTAAATATTTTTTTTAAACAGCCGTTAGCCGTTGAATAGTTTTTTAGAGTTCTTTTCATAGATAGGGCTGTCCTGATACATATTATTTACCTGGGGGGGGATCACACTTTTCTGTAAGTTTTCTACACTTGTAGGAAAACGTTGACATTGAGTTGGCTGGGTTTCGGGGGAAAAAACCAAACCTCATGTGGGCTTGCAGTGGTGCATTAGAGTTGATTTTACTTAGTGTTACATTAGGACAAGGCAGTAATTAGATAGTTGTACAGTTAAGGAGAACTGCTTTGCAAAAGAGACAGCTGTGGAAGTGTCACCAAAAAAAAAAGGGGCTTGCTTAACAGCATCCGCAGAAAAAAATGTCATGGAGCATTGTGTAACTGGCCAAGTACCCTTTTTTTAAAAGATAGCATTTCATAAGTTTGTTTCCGTGAAAAGCCCTTCAAATCTTTTTTTAAAAAATGTATTCATAATGGATTGGGGATGGGTGAGGGTAAAGCTGTCCTTGTGCAATGTAACTTAATGCTGGTAAGAGGATAGATGTCCATCTTTGTGGTGCAATATTTTCAAAGACCAACTTTCATATATGTTTTGACATTTTAAAGTGTTTCAGTACAAGCTTTGGAATATTTACTTTGTCAGCTGATTTTTTTTCATTGTATAGCATAAGGAATGGAAGATCACCTTCTCTTACAAACAAGATGTGCCTATTTCTATTGCAGATTTTTTCTGTGTTTTTTTTTCTTATTTGAAATGCTGAATGAAAATTTGCTTGTGATAGCTGTACATGACTTGTTACTTTTAACAAACATTAAATTGTATGCAAGTAAATCTGCCTACGGTTTTGTTATGTCTGCTGTGTCTTGTCTATCTTCATCCCTTTTGTAGCCATATTAATGGGCTCAAGCTACAGGAAGCTAGATTTAGGCTTAATATCAGGAAAAACTTCTAAACCCTTAAGGCAATAGGATAGTGGAACCAATTACCTTGGGAGTTTGGTCAGCGCTTCAAAGCTGGAGACCTTCAAGAGAAAATTGGACAACCATCCCTTAGATCTGCTTTGATTTGGATTCCTGCAGTGAGCAAGGGGTTAAATTCAATGGTCTTATAGGGCCTTTCCAACTCAATTAATTATGATTCTGTGTTTAAGATATTAATTGGTTGGGAATTTCTTTAACTCCTGTTTCAGGTTTAGAAAGGTGGTGTGCATATATAAACACTCAACAGCAGTGAAGGGAGAGGAGACACACCCGTTTTCTCTCTCAACACCAGGAGATATAAAGACTTCAAACTGTATTCCTGATGAATGGCAGAGTTCTTTAACATTTTTCAGAGAATCAGTAACAATGGATAAAGTTCCTGAAAGTAACCTAATTTCTCTTTGCTAATGATGATGGGTTGAAATACACCCTGAATACACCCAGGGAATTACATGCACTAAGATAAATTCAAGACAATATTGAGACATGCAAGATCTCTACAGTGCTGGTTGTTGTGGGTTTTTCAGGTTCTTTGGCCGTGTTCTGAAGGTTGTTCTTCCTGACATTTCGCCAGTCTCTGTGGCCGGCATCTTCAGAGGACTGGAGTAGGAACATGCTCTGTTGCTGTTTGTTGGATAGTTGAGTATTTATAGCTGTCGGAACAGCTTTTGTCTATGAACAGACAGATGGAGTGGCCATGGGGAGCCCCCTCAGCCCTGTTATAGCCAACTTTTACATGGAACATTTTGAAAAACAGGCCCTGGCTTCGGCATCCTTCACACCCACAGTCTGGTTCCGATACGTGGGTGACACCTTCGTAATTTGGAACCACAGCAAAGAAAAACTAGAAGAATTTCTAAACCATCTTAACAACATCCACCCAAATATTCAATTCACCATGGAACTGAACTCAACCATCTGAATGGGGCCCTAGAGGTGAATGGCTATTCCAAGAATGAAATCACAAGAGCCATCAAATCAAGAAAACAACACCAAACTGAAGAGGAAAAACAGCCACCCACAAATAAAGTATTTCTGCCATACATCAAAGGGGTCACAGACCGCATGAGGAAACTTTTGAAAAAACACAACCAAAAAACAGTATTCAGACCCATCCCAAAAATACAACAAATGTTACGGTGAGCAAAGGACAAAAGGGACCCCTCGCCACTGCAGGAGTATACCGGATACCTTGCAGTTGTGGACAGGTATATATTGGAACCACAAAAGGCAGCATTCACACCAGAATCAAACAACATGACAGACACTGCAGACTAAAACAACCGGAAAAAATCAGCAGTAGCTTAACATGCCCTAAAACAAGCTGGACATGAAATTCTGTTTCAAAATACTGAAGTACTGGACAACACCAGCAACCACTATGTTAGACTGCACAGGGAAGTCATTGAAATCCATAAACATCAACAGAATTTCAACAAAGAGGAAGAAGGCCTAAAACTAAATGCGGCCTGGCTCCTGATTTGAAAAATACAGCCTGTAAAAAGTCAATGAACTCTACCCAGCCACAAGGGCCAGGGATCATTACACAAAAAAGACCAGCTAATGACACCCATCAATCAAAGTACCAGATAATCTCGCCTTCCTTATCACAACAACAACAACAACAAAAAACCACTGATCAGCGTATCTCCTGAAAAAAGACAAAAGCTGTTCCCACAGCTATAAATACCTAACTATCCAACAAACAGCAACAGAGCATGGACAGAGTTCCTACTCCAGTCCTCTGAAGATGCCGGCCACAGAGACTGGCAAAATGTCTGGAAGAACAACCTTCAGAACATGGCCAAAGAGCCCGAAAAACCCACAACAACCATCAGATCCCGGCCGTAAAAGCCTTTGAGAATACATTCTCTCCAGTGCCTTCACATTTTAAAATTACTCTTTTAATCCTATTATTTGTTAGGATTTATCCTGCAGTACACAGGTATTCTGGTTTATGTGTGCAAGGTACTGAATAGAAGAAACTATGTCATACCAAGCCATTCTGGTATGATGGTCAAAGCCATGCTTGGGGAATCTATGACCCCAGAAATGTTATTGCTTCTCAACAGTTCCAGTCAATATGACTAGTTATACCTGATGGGAAGTACAGTATAGTCCAACTACATCTGGAGGGCCACAAGATGTTGGACTCTCCAGATGGCACCATTGGTTGTGCTGGCTAGGGCTGATGGAAGTTGCGGTCCAGGGTAAGCTGAATGCACATGCTTTGTCCATCCTGCATTTAAGGTACGCCAAGAAAAATGAATGTAACTCTGAGAACTAAGAAGCCACCCAATACTTGTTTTGGTTAAAGCTGCCAACAGAATGAGTAAGTAGGTCTAGAAAAAAATGCAGAAGGAGAGAACTTTGCATACCTTACAGAACCACTAGACAGAGACTAGTGTCTTAGGCTGGCAGCAGCCTTCTGCCTCTGAATACTGATTCTGGAGAGAAGCCCTGGCTCAGATTTAGGAAGTCTTACCTGCCCCTTCTTCATGAAACTTTGCAGACACCTGCATGTAAAATGCATGTTGTGTTACTGATGGTGTCATCATGAGGTTTAACATAAATGGATTAATGATCATGACTTAGTGAGAGGTTGGACTTGAAAGAAGATCGAGGAAGATGATTGGATGTGGCAAAGACTGCTTTCAGAATTTATCTTTTAGCTTGCTCACTAAACACGGATTATTACAGTTGGCTCTGTGGTTGACAAGAAAGCAGCACTTTCTCTCTTAGGGAAAGATGTAAAGCCTTCCAGATATTTGGGAGTCATTGTCCATAATGTTACCCTAGGGATTCTTTCTGTTTGGAAGAAGGGTGGCCATCAGTTGCTCTGTAGATAAATTATCTGGATGCATCACTGTAATGAAATCTGAGAACTCCAATCTTGGGAGTAAATGCATTAACACTTGCAGCAGGCTTGCTGTTCAGTGCCAGATGTGTACTTTATGTCCACTGAGGATGAACAACTTTGGAAAGCAATAATGGAAGATGAAGTGCCTGAAACGTTACTTTTAGAGCTATGATCTGCCTGCATATCGGAGCTGGAGATGATTAAATTTGCAGCATTCTCTTCCAAACTACAGAGGCTTATGTTCTCTAGATGCTGAAGGAGCTTAAAATCATTTCCAAAAGCCTCAAAATTTATATGCAAACTGTAGACGCAAACCATGGTTATTACAGAAATGTATAGTGTGTTACTCAGCACGAGGTTCACGGAAGTTTGTTGATCCAGTTACTCATTGCATGCATCTGATCATGACTGATGCAGAAAGTGTGACTGTAATTTTTTTGCTGCTATACTTAAAGCCCATATGTGTCAGTTAGGAATGGCATTCCTGAAATATTCCGTTGGTTGGAAATTAAAAAAAAAAAGAATAACTAGAACCTATACAGTAATAAAATGTTGCAGCATGCAGGACAATCTCGTCCCAGGGGGGACGTGGTGGCGCTGTGGGCTAAACCGCAGAAGCCTGTGCTGCAGGGTCAGAAGACCAAGCAGTCGTAAGATTGAATCCACGCGACAGAGTGAGCTCCCGTCGCTTTGTCCCAGCTCCCGCCAACCTAGCGGTTCGAAAGCATGCAAATGCAAGTAGATCAATAGGGACCACCTCGGTGGGAAGGTAACAGCGTTCCGTGTCTAAGTCACACTGGCCATGTGACCACGGAAGATTGTCTTCGGACAAAACGCTGGCTCTATGGCTTGGAAACGGGGATGAGCACCGCCCCCTAGAGTCGAACATGACTGGACAAAAATTGTCAAGGGGAACCTTTACCTTTACCTTTACCTTTATAAAACCCAGTTATAATAGATGTTTTACTATTGTTATATTACTCTGTTATTTATTGTTTTGTACATTTATATCCCAGCTTTCTTCCCATGAGTTCAAGATGATACACATTGATCTCCTCCTGCAGCAGATCTACTAATATGAATAATGAATAAAAGTAATTATATTATTATTCATGTGTTAATCTTAGCCATATTATAGATCATGTGTCAGGTGGATACACAATTGGCTACAGAGTCGTACTCAGAGGGTGATGGGTCCTTCTCTAACTGGGAGGAGGTCACAAGTGGGGTACCCCAAGGCTCAGTCCTGGACCCGGTGCTCTTCAATATTTTTATTAATTACTTGGATGAGGGAGTGCAGGGAACTCTTGTCAGATTTGCAGATGATACCAAATTGGTCAGCTTTGCAGATGATACCAAATTGGGCAGAATAGCTAATATCATAGAAGACAGAAACAAAATTCAAAATGACCTTGATAGGATGGAGCACTGGACCGAAAACAACAGAATGAAATTCAGCAGGGATAAGTGCAAAGTTCAGCACCTTGAAAAAAAAATCAATTGCATAGTTACAAGATGGCAGATACCTGGCTCAGCAAAACTACGAGTGAAAAGGATCTGGGAATTGTTGTAGATCACAAGCTAAATATGAGCCAACAGTGTGATGTGGCTACAAAAAAGGGTAATGCTATTTTAGACTGCATTAATAGAAGTACAGTTTATAAAATCCCACAAGGTGCTAGTCCCCCTCTATTCAGCACTGGTTAGACCTCACTGAGTACTGGCTCCAGTTCTGGACACCACACTTCAAGAAGGATGCTAACAAATTGGAACAAGTTCAGAGGAGGGTGATAAAGGTGATCAGGGGGATGGAAACTAAGCCGTATGAGGAAGGCTGAAAGAACTGGGCATGTTTAACCTTGAGAAAACCTTGTCGTACAGAGGAGGGGCAGGATCTGTTCTCGATCATCCCAGAGTGCTGGACACGCGACAATGGGCTCAAGTTAAAGGAAGCCAGATTTCGGTTGAATATCAGTAAAATGTCCTAACTGTTAGAGCTGTATGACAGTGGAACCAGTTACCTTGGGAATTGCTGAGTGCTTCAACATTGGAGGCATTCAAGAAAAACTTAGATAATCACTTGGCAGATATGCTTTGATTGTATTCCTGCATGGAACAGGGGGTTGGACTTGATGGCCTTGTAGGCCCCTTCCAACTTCACTTTTCTATGAATTCTATAGCTATAATCTGAATATTAATATAAAGCCAAGCCGTTCAGAATTGAATTCCGTGCTTCTACTACAGTAGGACCCCCTTATCCATGGGATCAGTATCCACCGATTCACTTATCCATGGTTATTGAAAATATTAAAAGAAAAAATTAAAAAAAACACCTGTTTTCACATATACAGTATTTACCAGAACCAGCCACAAGCTATGAATACTTGTTAGTGAATACATAGGATGGTCTCTGGCACCCTCTCGTAGCCATTTCTGGTAACACATGTGAAAATAAATTTTTCCAAATTTTTCTTCCCTTTTACCATACTATTCTACAATTGTAGGATTGATTACACATTACACAGTTGTATTATCCACTGTTTTTCAGTATCCACAAGGGGGATTGGGACCAATCCCCAGAGGATATGGGTGTGTGTGTCCTACTCTAACCACAAAATTGTAGTGCCCACAACCATCTACCCCCCCAACCCCTCAGCAAAAGCGTCCCTGAGAGACGGGCACCCGACCTCTTTCACCATGGAGAGCCCGCCACCTCCCCAGGGAGGCCATTCCCAGCTCTTCCGAATGTTTCGCTGAAAACTCGCTAGTCGTAACTTTCCTCCCTCTCAATTAGTGAAGCGGCTTCAAAATCTTTTGAGAAGTCGCAGCGTCAGAAAAGTCATTCTAACCTCCGGTAAGTTTTTGCGCACGTTACCCTCTCCACGTTAGGGAACGTGTGCATTTAAGCACAAGGAATTTTGCGCATTCTTTTCACACTGGGCATCGAAGCGACTAAGAGCCTCGCGTTCTCGACCAACAGCGTCTTCCAGGAGAACTACAGCACCCAGAACGCTCCGCGGTGAGCGTCTTCCAGACCATTATAGAAAAGAACTACAGCACCCAGAACGCTCCGCGGTCGGGCACGACCATAGAGTGCCACCGCTTCACGACTGTCGGCTCGTTTCCGGTGTGGTCGCTTCCGGAGAGGCGGGGCTTGAGCTGAAGGAAACCAAAACGCCACCTGAGAAACGAAAAGGGCCTACAGGGAACGGGGGAAAGGCAGCGTGTTGCTAACTGCCAGGTATCCAAGGGCAACGCGGGGAGAGGTCCTGATAGCTAGAAGGGCCAATTAGGTCGAAAATACTAGAGAGACATACACTCGGTTTCCGGTGAAAGCTCAAAGCGGCTAAGGTCGGCACAGAGCGCTGCCGGGGTCTTTCATGGAGTTTTACTTTGTGTGCGTCTTCCGAGTCGGCAACGGAAAGTAGAAAAGCATTTCCGTTCTGGGCCGGAACTAGGGTACCGTAGAGTTCAACGGCGCGTCCTCCTAGAGCGACGCCGTTTCCGGTGTGCTGCTTCCGGAGAGGCGGGGCTTAAGCCGGAGGTGAGCCGACCCTGCTGGAGAAGGGAAGGGGGTCGCCGGGAACTCTGCTAAGGAGGCACGTAGGAGGCTGCCTGACCCCGAGGGTGACCATTGGGCCTTCCAGCCCCAGAGCGTCAGTGCTAGCTTGTGGTGGTGACGTCTGTCCAAGGTCTGAGGCTAGACTTTTTCCAGCCGTCCCTGAAGGTGCTGAGAGTAGAACCCCGGGGGTCTTCTCCGTGTAAAGCAGGTGCTCTGCCATCTCACCTCCTTTCGTCCTGGGACCTCCTCCTGTCCTGAGATTAGAAGGGTGAACTATAAGCCCAAGTCCCCTTTCCGAAGAGGAGCATTGCAAAAGCAAGCCCCTGACCCTCACCCTTCTTCCCCAATTCAAGAGGATTCACACCTCAGTTCCATCGTACTGCACTCGGATGATCCCCTGCCTCAAGAGATTCCTCATTTTTACCATTCAGTCTGTATGCAGGGATGGGATCTGTGGTTTGAAGGTGGTTTCATAAGGATTGGATGCAGAAGTCGTGTAGCTCCACGAGGATCTGCAGATCAGATCTGTTTTGGGCCTACAGTGACATAGAATGGAAGATCTGCTTTTTCTAGTTTGGTCTGTGGGCATGGACGGGATCTGTGAATTGCTGATGGTTTGGAGGAGGATCTCATGTGGTGTCTAACAAACTGGAGCAAGTCCAGAGAAGGGCAGCAGGAATGATCAGGGGCCTGGAAATCAAGCCTTATGATGAAAGACATGGGCACATTTTGCTTTGAGAAAAAACATCTGAGGGTAGATGGGATAGTACTTTTCCAATACTTGAAAGGTATTCAGATACTTGAAAGGTATACAGAGGAAGGCAGGATCTGTTCTTGATCATCCCAGAGTGCAGGACACATAATAATGGGCTCAAGCTCCAGGAAGCCAGATTTAGACTGAATATCAGGAAAAACTTCTTAACTGTTAGAGCAGCATGAAAATTGAACTAATTACCTTGGGAGGTGGTAAGTGCTCCAATGATACAGACATTCAAGAAAAATTGGACAACCATCTGTCAGATCTGCTTTGATTCAAATTCCTGCATCGAGCAGCGTGTTGGACTTGATGGCCTTGTAGGCCTCTTCCAATTCCGTTATTCTCTGATTCTGTGTTGTATGCTAAACTAGAATTGTATAAGTGTTTGAGAATATCCTTTCTTTTCACCTTTTTTTCAGTTTTCTCAGATGGCTTCCTTTGGGTGGAAGAGAAAGATTGGTGAGAAGGTGTCAAAAGCAACATCTCAGCAATTTGAAGCTCAGGCTGCTGATGAGCAGGGTCTTGTGGATGATGATGATGATGTTGATTGGGTTCATGAAGCTAAAAGGAAAAAGGGACTCCTGTTGGAAGAGTGTTTGGCCAAAAGTAAATGTCTAAAGGAGGAAGGTGCAGCATTGGCTGAAAACGAAAGGTATGGATGCTTTTCATTAAAATCTCCTGTGAGCTAATTCTAGTTTGTAACTAAAGAATGTATTCTGAATCCTGCATTCACTTAGGGTCAAAAAATGAAAAGTTCATGAATGGCAAGCAGAGCTTTACACAATATTCCAAGTGTCATGACATAATGGGTTAATTTTTGAACTTAAACTGTGTGTGTGTGTGTTCTGTGCTATGCTGTCAAGCTGGAACTGACTTATAGCGACCCTAATAGGGTAAGTGAGATATTTAAGGAGTGATTTTACCAGTTCCACTGCCCCAGTGAGTTTCCAGGGCCAAGTGAGAATTTGAACCCTGTTCTCCAGAGTCCTGGTCCACTCTATCCACTATAAACAGATTAGATTCACTGAATGAATTGGCTTATGTAAATCCTGTTGATTCAGTAGGTTGTATAAATGTATGATGTTAGGTTTAATTGTAGTCATTTTTTACTGAATTAAGAGTTTATCTGCAACTGTCTGGTGAGTCTTTCGCTTTCTACAGTTCTGCTTGCCAGCAGTGAAGAGCAGCAGGCGCTTGCTATATTGGCAGGCAGTGATTCTGTTTGCTTATGCAAAACCGTTTTGTGTTTTGATTCTGCATGTAAAATTGGAACTACATTTACACAGATAAGAACATAAGAAGAGTTCTGATGGATCAGGCCAAGCGCCCATCTAGTCCAGCTTCCTGTCTCTCACAGTGGCCCCACCAGATGCCTCTGGGGGCACACGAGGCTACTAGATAGCTGTCTCCTGATACTCCCTCCCCTGCATCTGGCATTTTGAGGTACCTTCCTTTTAAGCCTGGAGATTATACATCCCCATCATGGCTTGCAACCTGCGATGGATTTTTCCTCCAGAAATCTGTCCAGATCCCTTTAAAAGGCATCTAGGCCAGATGCCATCGGAACATCATGTGGCAAGGAGTTCCACAGACTAACAACACGCTGGGTAAAGAAATAGTATATTTTGTCTGCTCTCGCTCTCCTAACACTCAAATTGAGTGGATGTCCTCTGGTTCTAGCATTGCGTGACAGGGAAAAGAGCTTCTCTCTATCCACTTTATCCATCCCCTGCATAATTTTATACGTCTCAATCATGTCCCTCCTCGGGTGCCTTTTCTCTAGACTATAGAATCCCAAATGCTGTAGCCTTCCCTCATAAGGAATGTGCCCCAGCCCAGTCATTTAGCCATTCTCTTCTGCACCTTTTCCAGTTCCATGATGTCTTTTTTGAGGTGCAGCAGCCAGAACTGTATGCAGTACTCCAAGTGGGGTCTTACCAGCATTTTGTACAATGTTATGATGTTGGCTGTTTTATTTTCAATCCCCTTTTTTAATCATACCTAGCATGGAACTGGTCTTTTTCACTGCCACCGCACACTGGGTTAACACTTTCATCGAGCTGTCCACCAGCACACCAAGATTCTTTCCTGATCCATCATGGACAGCTCAGAATCCATTAGCTGATAACTAAAGTTTTGACCCCCCCCCCCATGTGCATTACTTCACATTTTCTTATATTGAAACACATTTGCCATTTTGCTGCCCATTCTCCCAGTTTGGAGAGATCTTTCTGGAGCTCTTCACAATCTCTTCTGGTCTTCACCACCCGGAAATTTTCATGTCATCTGCAAACTTGGCCACCTCACTGCTTATCTCCAGGTCATTGATGAGCATGTTGAAAAACACTGGTCCCAGGACAGATCCCTGGGGCACACCACTTTTCACGTCTCTCCATTGTTAAACCTGCCCATTGACACCTACTCTCTGTTTCCCGGTTCTCAGCCAATTCGCAGTCTATAAAAGGTTAGCGTTTTTTAACAATTAAATGGTTTTCATAGATTAATTGGATTAAATGAAGATTAAATGGCTTAAATGAAGATTAAAGTGGATTAAATGAAGATTAAATGCCTTTTGTAGAGTATCTCCTGTGTTCCTTTTGAATAACAAACATCTCTTGATTTTAAACTGAGAAAAAAATTGAGAAAAAGGAAGAACTGATATTGATTGGCTCGGTCACAAAAATCCTCTAAAATCCTATTGTTTTTATATGCTAATATAAGTGCAGTGCTGTTAATCACACTGACAAGTTACTGCTAGTTAGGTAGTTACCACTTACATTCCAAGTCACATGTTGAATAACTCAACTAGCATGCAATGAGGGATACCGTGTTTGACACCATAACCGGCAGCAGTTTTTCACTGCGGTTTATGCTGTTGCACATAACGCTGGCATACATAAGCAGCAGGCTTCTGTGCAAAATGTGTTCTTCAAGGTAATCTCAGACATTACAACTCTCACCTATGCTCCATAGTATACACTTACCAGGAGACTAGCTGATCACAGCTCTCCAGTTACCATACTTCTGTGATGCATTGTTTATTGAGATCACATTTTATATTTGCATGTGTACACTTGAACCATTTGTTCAACTGAAAATGCAACAGACACAAAGTGGCCTGTCAAGGCAGAGCTAGGATGTTTAAAAGGAAGCATGTTTACAACTCTGGTAAAGTCCAAAGAACGAAAACAAGACAAAAATATGTGACACCTTAAATACTAACTATTCTGTTTCAATGTGAGCTTACGTGGACACATCCACGAAAGCTGACATTAAAATAGAATTCTTAATCTTTAAGGTGCCACATGCTTTTGTCTTGTTTTGTTTTGGTTCTTTGAATTTTGCCGAGTATGTTTGCCCAGACTAACCTTCCAAAACTACAACTCTGTTTAATTTAGTCTTTATTTGGTAGTAATGTTGATTAGCCTCTAGATGGTGGTAGAAACCATTGTAACATGGCATTATCTGAGGTTCCTAAAGAGGGAGGCGCTGTAGGGATTGGTTGGTTTTAGCAGTTTTCAAAGAGACAGTTGTGCTAGACTGTTTCTGCATAAGAAAAACAAAATAAAAGAATTATTGTGGCAGCATAAAGACAGATTTATTTCAGTGTGAGGTTTTGTGAATTATAATGTATTTGTTGAGATAATTTAGCTGCAGTGTATATACAAGTATGTGTTGTGGAGGTAGGAACCTACTGAATACAGTGGTCCCTCGCTATGTGAAAACATCGCTAAACGGAACATAAAAACCCATTGGGCCCTAAACTTACTGTTCAGCGAAGTTTCCTCCATAGCGGCAGCCATTTTCTCGCCCTCGGGAAGCAAGGGGAGGGGGCGGGAACGCTGCACGCGGCCCTTTTGGGCGTCTGGCGGCCATTTTAGAACCGCCAAACAGCTGATCCGCAGGCATCGCAAAGCGAAGATCGGTAAGCGAAACGCTTACCGATCGTTGCTATGCGAGTTTTGCCCATTGGAACGATCGGTATGCCTCCGCATTAGCGATCCAGAAAAGGGGATCGCTATGCGGATTCGTCGTTGTACGGTGCGCTCGTTAAGCGAGGCACCACTGTATTGATAGTGGCACAAGGCGAAATTTGAGAGTGGCAATAGCACTATTAATACAATGCTTAACATACGTCATTGAGCATATTTTAAAAAGTGATAACTTAGATGAAATGTGACATTTCGTTTCCATTACTGCTTAAGTAATATTCAAGTATGCACATCACAGGAAATCACAATGCCAACAAAGAATCAGTTATACAAGGAGGTACCTATAGGGGATTCAAACATCACCTATCCAGAATTTTGTTTAAGAAGCTGGAGGGCTAAACTCAGTAAAATGGGGACCAGATAGGGTGAATCAGCATCAATTATTTTTTGAATCAAAATGATTTAAAACTTGATTTAATTTTTTTTTAAGAAAAGATTTTTACATTTAAATCATCAAAAATCCCAATTTGTTTGATTATAATCGTAATTGATGCAAATCAATTTGATTTAAATCAAATCCACCCTGGGACCAGACATTGTTGACAAGGTTCTCTTTCATTTCTACCTCAGGCTGTTTTCATGGCAAATGTCAATTTCTCTCGCAAAGCCAGTGGTCATTCATGTGCATTCCATTTGCCTGCAAAGAGTCCTTCCAACGTTCCCTCTAATTTTTGGCCCCAGTGTATGGGAGGCTCGCCTCCTGTGCATGTGGGGGTTGGTGTTTCATCCAAAACCAGCTACTGGTGCACAGCTCTGATGGAGCTCTCTATGTGCACACACACATGCAGCTTAGTGAGAACGTTGAGTCCTCCTAAGGTTTTCCATCTTTATGCAATTTTAGCTTATCCAGCTGTTAATAAAAATGACAAGAAGTCATTGTGGTCTAATAATTCATTGTTGTCTAAGAACAAGGAAACTATACAAGCACAATGTAAAATGGTTTGGCCTGCTATTTTTACCAAAATCTTATGAAGCTTCTTCAGAAACCTGAATGCTCTTGGACAAGTAAGCCAAATATGAAAAGGTGTCACCCTGTCCTTGCATGCCCTCTATCAGGATTTATTATCAATTCAAGCTAGTTTTGATGGGCACAAATGCTATCTGTGAACAATCTTTAGTGCACATTCCTTTATTTGTACTGATATGGTTTTATATGGGGATGAAATCCATAAGTTTTCCTATTTGGATTTAGGAATTGAGGGATTGATTCTCACGGTAATCTAGATGCAACAATTTTTCCATATCACTTAATGATCAGTCATTTACAAATAATGATGCAGTTGTTCGAGGAGAAGAGGGGTGTTTCAGATTTTCAATATGAGATTTCGGAGGGGCCCAACCTTACATAGGAGCATAGTTGTAAAAGTCATAATTTGCTGCATCTAAAGGCATCTAATTTGTGTTTCTCTTAGTGGCGTTCTGTATCAAATAAATCCTTAGTTCTATACAAACTCATCTCTCTCTCCAGTGTTTTTATTACAATATCTTGCCCTCCAGGCAAAAGACTGGATGATCTAATAATTGGCACAGGAAGGGAGGCTGGATGTGAATTGGATCAAATGTTTTCTCCAGGTGTTCTCAGCACTTACTGCACAAAATCTTATCCATGTGGTTGTGCCAGTGTGAACCAGATCCAGGTGCTTGAAATAATCCATTTACA